TGAAAAAGTGTATATCATTAAATACATATACCATTGATGAGAATTTTATTTATATTCAAGATTAGGATATCTGTCAATTCCATTTCTTAACTGCCAAATTGTAACTTGAAAGTAAAAAGCCAATTTATGTTCAGACTTTTCGTGAAGCAGCCATAATGCCTAGACTTAAGTCACGTAATTTTTTGTGCATAATAGTATGGCATTTCATACATAAATTGAGTTAAAGTTAGAAATTAAATTGCCCCAAAGGTTTATTTCCTTAAACTGAAATTTATTCATGTATCGATTTTCATAAATATAATTATTTAACATGATTTAGAAATATTTAGATTTAGTGAGATCTATGAAACAATAAATGTTAAAATGTAATTAAAATTTTCTTTGAAACATACACGGTTACCTAGAGATAAGTTTCCACTCCAGAGAACTCTGGAGGGCATTCTACTGCTTTAAATGAGGCAAATTTTAGACTATAAGTAATTCAAACGATCCACTTGCCATTTCTTAACTTATATTTTCGTATACGTTGAAATTCAGCAACAACGTATTCGACACTTCAAACAAAGATATTTAATAGAAGAGTTATTAAATATCTTGAAAAATAAATCAATTCCGTACAGAGCTTTACAAAGAGTAACTGTAACTTTGAAAATTTCTATAAAAAGATATATATACACATTATATATATATAGTTATTTATTTATTTAAAAAATCAAATGTAATGATAAGAAAATTATGTGAAGAAGAATTATGTAAAAATTTAAATATATAAATTTGAAAATCTGTTTCATTAGTAGAATTAAATTCAATTGTTAATATACATAATTATAATAGATAAATGTAGAATTTTATTTTATGAATTTTAATAAAATAATAAACTGATTTTAACTTTTGCATTCTGAAAACTAAATTATCCTTTTTACATTATATTATTCGTCTTATTTTTAAAATGTTACATTTGAAAAAGTTATCTGAAATCAAAGTAAAAATGTTCCACTTTGCTGTATTTGATGCTCGCGTTTCATGCCTATTTAAATAATACTTAAAGTTGAATTTTTCTTGCAAATATTACATAAATACAGCCGTACTATTGTATGAGTTTTCATTTCTTCGTGTAAAAGAAATAGACTTGGAAAGCTTTTAGGGCAGACTTCACATTGGTAGTCTTTTCTTTTCGATTTCTTAGGTGGAATCTAATTATAATATGATTTATAATTCAGCTATTTATTACACAAGAAAAGAAAATTGAAATTATATCATTTTTGAAAATTTTTTCATATTGTATAAATTTTGCAGGCTCATAGAAACAAGAATTGCTTAACTACGGTTTGAATGAAATTTTAGTAGCTAGTACTGTTTATTTATTAATGTTTTACAGTAAATTACCAGATTTATTTATTATAATTAATTAAATCATTTCTATAATATGTCGTTTAATTATACTTTTAGTCTTTTATTTTATTAGTTTTCTATGTTTATTTTATGAAATATTTATCGATGAAACTGTAAAACAATATATATAGAGAGATATTGAGAATAATTACAATAATAAATTCAGTAGCAATTGCGTGTGGATGTATTCGATTAATATGTCGCATCAAATATTTGGTTCTTGTATCATATCTACAGCCTGGCTAATTACATTTGAATGGTCATTCTTCAGAAAGTACTTTCATGTGACTTATTACATTACCTTGTTGGGCGAATTATTCCCAAAAATATTACAAACAATGATTGTTTGTAATAAGATTTTCGCATACAGTATATTACAGTATTAGTTTTTATTTTCAGTCTTTTAAAAATATATTTGTTATGTAATTATTATTAATTATTAAATTTTTCATTAATTTATAAAATATTTTCTAGTGAGTTAATAATATAAAAGAAAAATGTACGTATTTTATTCGTCAAAATTACAAATAAAATAGTTCCCTAAATATAAGCAGTCTTACGAAACAGAACCTTTCAGCGGACAAATATATAAAACAACTTAACAGTGGTAGTTGATCATGGGTTCTAGTCTCTTAATCAAGCTAGTTATGTAGAGTTTCCGTACTTTGCTTTGGTTTGTAACCCTAAATAGGAACCAGTTCCTATGACAAATATTCTGTTACGCATCTCCATCGGGAGATCGCTCATGTGACATGATACCGTATAGAAATAATTCGAAATAATGTTACTAAACGAACTGAAAATTTTACTTAATACTTCAGATAAAATCTGAAATGGAAATAAACTAAAGTTTAAAATTCAATACCTAAATTTCGACAAGAGTAGAAACCAACAATGCACTACAATAATGAGAATTTGGTCAATTATTCTGTGATATTAGCGAACTGTGCATAAGAAGAGTAAAAATAGATAAAATAATTATTTCGCAATTGGAATACGTATATTGAAATAAGAAAAGTACTATTTGAATATCGGTACTATAATTACACTCATAAATTACTTTTAAAATATTTCTAGATATCTATGATGTAGGCTAAGGATTATACAAAATAATTTTGGTATGAGTATTTGATACACTGAATAAGCAAGAAATTAAAATAAAATCTTTGATTTAAAAGACCCAAAAAATAGTCTTTGAGAGAGAGAGTTTACATGAGTTTTCGCGTAGCGATTAATACCTTTTGTAGCGTCCCGTTTATAGATATCTCGTATAGTCTCGTTGGTAAAGAGTTGAGTATTCAGTAGTTCGTATTTAAAGGCTTTAGTCGTAAAATGTCAAGGGAAAAATATCCAGTCGGGTAGAATCGTGCACTAACACAATTAAAAATTTGGAAAAAGTTGAATGCTGAGTTTACTCCAGAAAGAACGGGCAACGACTCACTCTTCGGCTGGCAACAGTGATATCAGTTCGATTTCAACTGGAGAAAACTTCAGTAGATCACGGGAATGCGTCATTTTCGTCGTCGAGAAAGTGTAAGTAAAGATTTTCTCAGATAGATGAGGATAATAATTATGCAAGTATGGCATTATCGACGATTAAATTTTTGTAAACTACGGATTCTCACGCTGTGTCAAATCTTAATAAGAAACTAATCATAGTGGGAAAATAAGCAAAATATTCGTTTCTTGTTTTAGTTAAGTTGTTGTTACTTTAGTTTAGTTATTTTTATTTTGAGTCGTTTTATTCTCGCGTTATCTAATAATCTAATGTGAGTCCACGTTCTTCACTTTACTCATAAATGAACTTCTACCTACTGTTAAATAAGTTATAAATCTGCAACACACATTCAATCCTGTAAACGTAAATTTATTCAATTAAAGCTATTACTTAATTTCAAATTATAAATTTTTAAATTTTGTTTCGTAACAAAAGTATCGTTCTGCAAATGTACAGTATTTTATGAAATAATTTCTACAATAAATTAATTTATACGAAAATTTTCTAATGCTATTTCATTTAACTGTGCTGTAACTAATATTGTTTTACTAATGTATAATGTTCATTAGTCTCACATCAATGTTAATAATTTTTTAGGACTTTTTTAACTTATGTTGTTTCAAAGTTAAATGTCCAGAGTTAATTCGATTAGTGGAATTGTTTCTCGTGTTCCTTTAAAGAAATTTCGTCAGAAAATTGTTGTACACAATGTTGACATTCGAATTTATCTTCATCGGTTTCCATCTCTGAGAATAAATCCAGTTGTGAGGATGTCTCAAGCTTTGTAATTTCTAAATCGATGTTAAAATCTTTAAGAAATTCTTCAGCTTTCCTTGCTGTGAAGATACTCTCTTCTGATGCCACTTGTTCAGATTCAATTGATCCTGTTGCTTCAGAACTTTTTGATGGTGTCTGAAAAAAATCTGATTGCATTTCTTGGCCATGTTCTATATCTTTCTAAAAGTAAATATCATAAATTTAATGTAGGAGTTTAATTCCGTAAATACAAATATATAAAATCTCATGTAAATTGAAATAATTAAAATGTAATTTACATCACATTTAAACTTCTTTATTATTTAAAATTTTCATAATTTTTGTAACTTTTTTTGTGAGAAAAACATTATTATGCAGAACAGAATGCCATTATTCAATAAACTAGCGTGAAGAAGCATATATTTAGAAGTAATTACAGTAGAGCGTCGATTTTCCGAAAGTCAATAATACGAAAGAATTCCAGTCGGCAAATTTAAATTTCGCCAGTGCTGTGGCGCTTCAATCTTTGGTTATGTCTTGGGCTACTCAAATATTTTACGTTTTTGATACTAAATTAACATCTGAAGTATAATTTTTTATTATTTTTATATTTTTCAATATATTTATTTTGTTTGTACAAAATAAANTAAAATAAAATCTTTGATTTAAAAGACCCAAAAAATAGTCTTTGAGAGAGAGAGTTTACATGAGTTTTCGCGTAGCGATTAATACCTTTTGTAGCGTCCCGTTTATAGATATCTCGTATAGTCTCGTTGGTAAAAAGTTGAGTATTCAGTAGTTCGTATTTAAAGGCTTTAGTCGTAAAATGTCAAGGGCAAAATATCCAGTCGGGTAGAACCGTGCACTAACACAATTAAAAATTTGGAAAAAGTTGAATGCTGAGTTTACTCCAGAAAGAACGGGCAACGACTCACTCTTCGGCTGGCAACAGTGATATCAGTTCGATTTCAACTGGAGAAAACTTCAGTAGATCACGGGAATGCGTCATTTTCGTCGTCGAGAAAGTGTAAGTAAAGATTTTCTCAGATAGATGAGGATAATAATTATGCAAGTATGGCGTTATCGACGATTAAATTTTTGTAAACTACGGATTCTCACGCTGTGTCAAATCTTAATAAGAAAGTAATCATAGTGGGAAAATAAGCAAAATATTCGTTTCTTGTTTTAGTTAAGTTGTTGTTACTTTAGTTTAGTTATTTTTATTTTGAGTCGTTTTATTCTCGCGTTATCTAATAATCTAATGTGAGTCCACGTTCTTCACTTTACTCATAAATGAACTTCTACCTACTGTTAAATAAGTTATAAATCTGCAACACACATTCAATCCTGTAAACGTAAATTTATTCAATTAAAGCTATTACTTAATTTCAAATTATAAATTTTTAAATTTTGTTTCGTAACAAAAGTATCGTTCTGCAAATGTACAGTATTTTATGAAATAATTTCTACAATAAATTAATTTATACGAAAATTTTCTAATGCTATTTCATTTAACTGTGCTGTAACTAATATTGTTTTACTAATGTATAATGTTCATTAGTCTCACATCAATGTTAATAATTTTTTAGGACTTTTTTAACTTATGTTGTTTCAAAGTTAAATGTCCAGAGTTAATTCGATTAGTGGAATTGTTTCTCGTGTTCCTTTAAAGAAATTTCGTCAGAAAATTGTTGTACACAATGTTGACATTCGAATTTATCTTCATCGGTTTCCATCTCTGAGAATAAATCCAGTTGTGAGGATGTCTCAAGCTTTGTAATTTCTAAATCGATGTTAAAATCTTTAAGAAATTCTTCAGCTTTCCTTGCTGTGAAGATACTCTCTTCTGATGCCACTTGTTCAGATTCAATTGATCCTGTTGCTTCAGAACTTTTTGATGGTGTCTGAAAAAAATCTGATTGCATTTCTTGGCCATGTTCTGTGTCTTTCTAAAAGTAAATAGTATAATGAAAGAGTGAAATTCAATAAATACTAATATATAAAATTTCATGTAAGTTGAAATATTTAAAATTTTCATAATTTTTGTAAATCTTTTTGCGACAAAAAAATTCTTAGGCAGAAGAGAATATCATTCTTTAAATCTATCTTTGTGAGTTTTAATCGTTTGTGAAATATAAATATGTATTAATTTGTTCTGTAATTTCTAATATGTTTTCACCATAAAACAAGAGACTGGTGAGCGGCAT